GAGTTCAAGTTTCCCATCCTCAAAGAGAGATTTATTCAGGATAAAGTAACTTCATACTCTCTTCGCTGACATAATGGAATTGGAATTTATGAACAGCAATGTCATCACAGAATCAAAACTGGCTCAAGACATGTAAATCTGGTCTGATTAAATTCTGACTGTGCTGTAGTGCACAGAGTTATTCAAATACACAAAGTTGTCTTTGCATTGCATTACACTTGTGAGTGCAGTACTCTGTATCTCAAAGTGTCCTTTAAAGGAAAGTTTGAATTTCAAGAGGGACGTTCAATTACACTTTTTAAGTATTCTTTCTGTCTCCAAATAACATGAGTTAAAAACAACAGCTTAAGTTTCAGCCAATATCTTTGTATTGACTGTATATTATTATGGAAGAAAGTACTGTTCAAAACCTAGCTGATCTGAAGTAATGAAGACTGATTAGATTTCATCATTTGGCTCCCATCCATTTGGAAGATATTGAAAAAAGTGACTCAGCCTAACACAGCCTAAGGAGTTAGTAGTCAAGTTTAAGAGGCTTCAGACCCATAAATGTGTGGGTGTAATATACCTCCTAATAGAAATAATAATTATTCTGACAAATCTCTGTCATTCTTCAAAGAGTGAATTCTTGTTTTGAAACCCAGAAGATGTTATGTGGAAACTTACAGCAGTAAAACACAATCCTAGCATTTATGTCTGAAAAATTATCCTTTAAGATGGCAATGTGAAAGAGTAAATATTTGAGCATTTAAAAGCAAAGCTGCAGAAAAAATCAGATCTCTATGCTTGAAGCTGCCACTGAACATATGGGCGCCAGACAACAGTCTTACAGTGATCACCCTTTGCTTCAACACTCTGAGTCCACTCCACAGCACAGTGACACAGAATTTTCTTTTTACAGCAGTGTCTAAGTCTACAATTTGCTTAACTGCTTTACACCAGATCAAGGAAACAGGAAAAGGTGCTGTGTTTCAATATTAATACTTGTCTCTAAAATTACATTTAACACCAATAAGTTGTGCAGATTTAACTAAACTTTCAACCAGCAAGTAACGTGCCATTCATACCGTATTGCTCTTGGTTCAAACACTGCCTTCATTGGTGTTGCAGCACTGTACCAATACAATAAGGATTTTTGCCAGTTAACTGAATTTAAAAATGCCCATATGCACATATCTGAAGCAAATCACACTTGCAAGCCTTCGTGCAAAAAGTCTGTGATGAAAGAGTTGCCTCAAGTGCTATTACTCTCCAGATCCCCTACCTTATACTCTATTTACCAGGAAGGAGATCACAAATAAAAAGAGCACACTGTCACAGCCATAATTCAACACCAACAGCAGTGAGCACTGCCCAAGTGACCGACTAGCATAATTCTACATAGTAAGATCTAGACCTCTTAACAGATGGGCATTATCATCCTTTATTCAGATACTGGAGCACTTATATTAATTTAAAGCCATAATATTACCAGAATTTCAACCTCAGACTGGAAGAGCTTATGGAAATTTTAAGTAAAGTGAAGAAAAGAAACACAGAAGAAGAAAAAAAAAATCCCCAAGATATGGAAATCAATCAAGGCAGTAACATTATTTGAGAACTGTCATACACAAAAAAAATTAATCGTATTTTCTAGTTCGACATCTCAATCCAACATTTTAACTTTCTACTGACAAGTAACCTAAACATGGTTACCCCAACAGTGGTAACAATGTGATCTAATTTTCACTGTTTAGAAAGATATCAAACAGCTAAAATGAGATTTAGTGCTTATTTAGTACAGTCTCCAACTCATCCTATCTTCAACTTGAATATAGCACAGCTGGAAATCCGTCTGTTTTAGAACAGTATCAGCAGTATAAATCTAGCCTGGCTAAGCCATCTGCAGTCAATATATCACTTTTTTAAAAGCTTGATCATCCTGTTCCTAATGTATTTTTCTTGAGTGATAAAATTTAATTGTGTAATTTTCAAAGTAACTACCGTTAAGGTTTAAATATTTCTTCCCAAGTTTCCTACATTTCACCCTAAACTAGAATTTTCTTTTCATATACCAAAGGCAAAAAGTGTGTTACAAAGTCCACAACTCTTCATGAAATATTAACGTCTGCATTTTCAAGCTTTTTTTTCAAAGAGGGCACTAAATTTAGTAATTTAATATTGTGCAAGTTAGTTATACCTTTGCTTATTTTTTCATACATCAAACTAGCCCCCAGTTTTAATTACATATACACTTCAAAAAGGTAGTAGATAACACACACAAAGTCCTGGACACTAAGTCAAAATTCAACTCTTCTCTCCAGTTCTGCTCATAATTTATTGGCTTTTTTAAATACATATAGTAAGACTGTGATTTTAAGATACGTGATAACCATATAAACTGGAAACTTCAAAATGTGAATCCTAAAGAAACAAAAAATAAATCCAATCCGCCCCTCAGAAGTCACTAAAAACTACATTGCAAAAGGCACCAGCCAAGACCTATAGAGTAGACAGGTAGATCTGAAAGTCTTAATAACCACATTTATTTCAGTTGGCATAGCAGATCTGATGGGATTTATTATTAACAGCACTGCAATAATGATGCAAAAAAACCCACAGATTGTTCAGGAATTGTAGGCATAGGAAAAGAAAAGAGAAGCTATTTATCCACATAATAAAGCTGAGAAAGTTTTATTTGATGTCTACAACGTAGTAGGAAATTGGTCTGATGCAAGTTCTGAAATGATAAAGGAGGAAAGAGGGTGGGGAAGAGAAACCAAGGAAATCACACAGAACAGGGTACAGCTCTACTGTAAATTGAATCTTACAGACCAGAAAGAAAAAACTAACCCAAATAGCACTTTAAATTTAAAGAACTCAAAAAAAACAAACAAAAAACCCCTACACTTGTTCTTAACAAAGTAGAAAATACAGAGCAAAATCAATTATTATTTCTCCCAAATAAGCAAAAAAGAGCTTGTAGTTTCTAAAATTAATTAGAAAAATCTGACAAGGTTAGGTCTGCCAGTAGATTTTAAACGTAATGATACAGATGCAACCTCCAGTCTGGAGGTGAGGAATCAGTGGTGAAACAATGACAAAACATACAAGCACAGAAAAACTACCATTAAGAAAAAAACAAACTGAAGAAACAACATCTAAAAACAAATTTTGGTATAAACGAACTATACAGTATACACTGCAAAAATATCTGTAATAGATAGCCTGCAACCTGTACTATGCCACTAGATGGCAAGTTTGGATAGAAATTAGCTCACTTTTTAATTCATGGCATGTTTGAAAATTGCAGATGCATAGGAAAGAAACAATCACGAAGAATGAGTGAAGGAGAACAAAAAAAGGAAGAGTTCAATAAACTATGATTCTTCTGTATAGGGCGCGTTTAATATCAATTAAAAAGGCTAAATGGGCCTTGTGTGGAGTGATTCCACATCTGCCACACTGATAGAAATTAAATTCTTATGAATAATTATTTTATGAATTTACAGACAGGGAAGAACTTGTTTCTTATTTGGTCACAGACAACAGCGTTGGCTGTAGCAACCATGGGAATCCAACAGAAGGCGGCTGGAGAGAAGCACTTCCAATAGTATCTCCCTCACTGTAAAGTGGAGATGGATCTGGCAGAATTTGGCACACATGAAAGGACAATCACTTAAGTGGAATAGAAAAAAACTCTCTGCATTTTGCCTAATTTTGTCGTTACATCCAATCTGAGTTGCTATATGAGGGCATTACTTAATGCAGCAGTAGAAAGTTTTGGCAGTATCTTCAGAGACATGAGAAACAAATTCATATTCGAATTTACAGACACACCTATCTGTTAACAGTATTTTAGTCAGTTTGTCTGGATCTGCTACTGACTTGCCTGCTACACAATGAAGCTACATATCACGTACTCCCAGTCTGTAAATTGTGCAAAGCTTATTATACCCACCTTCTAGATTAATGAACAGTGTTTTGAAAAGCACAATCTAAATCTAAAACACCATTCAAGTTATTTAAAAATGTTCAGCTGTAATATGTCACTTTGTTTATTGATTGATCCTGTAGTCAAAAAAGGATGTTATGTATGACACTGCTGGAAACAGGCAGCCAAGGAGGAGCTTCTATAGTTGAGCTCCCCTAAAGACAGACATCTAATTTCTGTGCTAACGTAAGAGTGGTACAGAAAAGGAGCAGGAATCAAACAAGCATGCTAAGAGCAAGTACTGACAGCACTACATGGGTTGGAAACAACAACCTCAAAGAGCCTGAGTAGCCTGCATTGCCTTTTAATAAACTACTATTTCACATCTTCAGATCAATATAATGCATTTTGCATGTATTTGAAGGCATGTTTAAAAAAAAGTTAAAATTACTGCTTTATGTGCTCTTCACAGTTCTTCATAGCAATGTCTCAAATTAAGAAGTCCAGATCAGTCAGCTGATTCCTTGAATTACAAGAAGCTATTCTATTTCCAGGAAATATTGCAACATCCTCAGGAATAAAGCTCTTCATTGTATAATCACGCAATCTTCCTTACTCACTCAGGTCTTTCAGTTCTGGTCTGCCACACCATTTTCCATAATTTGGGTTTGATCTTTTGTTGCCAACCTATTCAGAACTTTCCACCTCATTTTAAAAGAAAAACAAATCCTGCCTTTTAAATCAGTTCTTTCTGTAGCTTACCATAGCCTTGTGTTTTGATATTGCAGAAGCATGCAAATAAACATAAAAGTTCTTAATAGAAATAGAGCAAATATATCTGGAAGTTAACCCAGCATATATCCGGAAAGTTAACCCTGCACAATTTCCCCATGGTAAATTCAAATCTATTACCAGCGGGTAACAGAGTAGTGAGAGAGTAGAAATTAAACTTTTTACTTACCTGTAATACATACGTAAACCTCTCCAAACAAAAATACCACATAAGAAACAAGGTGTATTTAAATGAACACTGAATTTGTCATGTAGGGTAAATCACAAACAACTGAAATACAAGCAGAAGCCTTACCTCATCAGAAGAGAGTAGGTAAATAGGTGTTAACACAGGAATTTCACTTAATTCACAACTCAGGCCAAGTGATACCAGGATCTCCTTGAGAACTTCGTGTCTCTTTGTATTGCTTATCTTTAGCAAATTAAAATCCTCTTCAGTTTGGACATCCATAGAATTGATATCCAGTTCCAAGCATGCCTGGCAGGATAAGTGCAAAGGGAACAAAAAGAAAACCAAACGTTTTGTTGTTATTATACATTTTAGCATGGCGGAGACAGATAAGCACAACTGTTCCAACAGGTCTGTCCTGACTCTGGCTGCTGAACTATCCAGTGTTACTGATGCAATTTAGAATTTCTCATGTCTTCATCATATCTACACAAGCAGGGCTTTATTATGCTAATAAACTAGGGAATACCTATATATTTAATGTTTCCAATTCAAGGATCACAGGTGCCTGTATGCTGCAATTTTCTCTGAAACGTACACAGAATATCCCTTCTTAATAAACTGGTCTTCTCCCGGAGGAGCTGTTCAAACTTGTATTTACCAACTTAAACTTTTGCTTTTAATGTCTGCTAGCAACCTAGAACCAACAGCAGTACTGGTCTGCACAAGTGAGCTCGCTCTGTCTGTTCTGGCTTGTACAAGAGCAGAATTACATTAAAACTGAAAGAGCTTTATCAGAGGCTGCACAAGATATGTTAGAACTCAAGCTGAGCAAGTCCTTACTGTGTCACATGAATTAAATTGCAATCAGTGCAGGTAAAGAAATGCTTCTGTCTGAAAGAACTTGGAATCCCAGAACACCAGCTTGTAGAGAATCACTTCTCAGGGTCAAAGTGGATGCTTAAAAATAGAAATGAAATGCAGAAAAAAAGACAAAACAAAACACAAGAAACCAAAGCTTTCTAGACCTTTTTGTCTTGTTTGTTGCTTTGGGTTGGTGGTGGTTTTTTGTGCATTTGGGAATTTTTTGGTGGGTTTTGGTTTTTTAAAAAAGTGTTCTAAGATATTTAGAAGCCTTTGTACTCTACTACTTGCATATTCATTTAATGAAAATCACAAGCTATTATCTTTATTCATTTCTCCAATTTTGCACATTTTAATCATGCTCTTCATCTTTCATATATGATCCACTTTATTGAAATTGGGGGAAATATGCTGAAATGGAGGGCAGAGGAAGAAAACAGAAGAGTACAGAAAAAAGGAAAACAAAAAGTCTGTGATAGAATATTTAATGGCTGATGTCACTGTCAGTCCCCTGAAGAGAAAACAATAAGGCTTTTCAAATCCAGATTGGAAGTCATTTAAAATTATAAAATGACACACTAATCCTTTTAATCTGATTTTTGAAGCTATACTATAATGCCTTTTTTCTGGGGAAAACCTCTGCAGTATTAAGTTTTACTACAGCAGAAGGGTCAATTTAAACGGTTTTACCGTGGAACTTGCAGAAACAGATAGCAACAGTATCTAATCAATTTTCTAGTACAAACATACGGCACATGGGTGGCAAAGCTTCCTACATAAAGCTACAAACATGCTACTATGTATAACAGTTTCCAAAGAGCTAGCAGATTTAATCTGATAACCTGATAAGAGAAGAAAACACTTCTAAGAAACCTGATGAATATTTCAGAATTGTGTAACTGCTAGAACGCATATGCTACTTGATACGTGAGCAGTTAATTTTGAGTGCTCTGGGCTCCTGAGAAAGTTTTCCTGTAACTAAAATATTGGTAAAAATAGGTCCTAGAATCTTTCATAGTTTGTTCAGCTATGTCTCCATTATATTCCTTATCTACTTAAATACGGGTAAATAAATCTCTCTCCGCTTTTCTCAATGTGCTGCATGAAAGCAAAGCCAGAGTAAGGGAAGTGATACAATTGTGAACAGCCATGCTAAAAAGAAAATGTTTATCTCTGCTTCTACTGAGGCTAACTCAAAACGTGCAAGTTGCCTTCAGGCTCACTTTAAAAAGTCTTACCATAACACGGCTGAAATCTCTCTAGATTTAATAGCACAGGTTATACATCCAGAAAAATGCATACCTGTGGGGCACTGACTTATTTCCTAAACTTAACGGCACCTCTTTTCAGTCTTTCTATCACTTAAAACTTTAGCCAGATACTGGTAAATATTTAAATAACCAGGGACCAACATTAACCTTTAACACAGCCATGGATACCTCCTCACCCATTATGCAGTAAAAGAGAGAGTAACAATAACAGAAAAGATTATAAACACCTAAACTTGTCTGTTGTTTAACTTTTGGAGGGGGTGTGGATTTAGTTTGGTGGTTGGGTTTTTTGTTGTTTTTTGAAGTTTTTTGCTTTGTTTTGGGTTTTGGCTTGTTGGGTTTGGGGGTTTTTGTTTGTTTGTTTGTTTTTAAGAGAGCTCACAATACTGTAACACTGGAGAGGTACCTATTTGCTGCAATAATATTATTCTTAAGTGGAATGAATAACATTTTGGCTCATTCTAGACTCCTCCACTTCTGTCCCCCAGGTGCTCTCAGCTACTTGTTAAGTGCAGAATGTTAAACATCTAAAAGCTTAAAGCCTGAATATACTCAGGAAACAAAAAAAGCAAGTTTCCAGCAGACTAGGAAACACCCCCTTCTCCTCCCTCCCAAAAAAAACCCAACAAAAACCATCTCAGGAGCATGTATTACTGAATAAAAACATGTCAAAGTCTCGAAAACAAAAATCAAGTTTTAGAATTTTAATTTTGATACCAAATAGAAAAAATGTGTTCCGGTTGAATAAAGGGGTTTTTTTAAATGACAGAACAGAAAGGCCAACGTCACGAACCTAACATCCATCTAGAAATTAGCCTTAAACAAAACACTGCTAAAGAAACTATAAAGTGATTTGCTTCACTCACAACACTAAGATACAAACAGAATATAACTAAGAAAATGTTAGCAATACTAGAAAAAAAGAAATAACAGGCCTATATCAACAGTGGCATTTCAGTGCAGTCACAGACCAACCTTTGAGCAGTTACTTGCACAACCAAGAATAGTACAGCTGTTTTCCTAGACACTGCACACAAGTGATAGAGACTGGGACTCTCTCATTCACAGTCAGATTTCCGGAAGTGCTGGCTACCCTAACCTTAAGCCTTAAGAGGAAAAGTCTTTCAGGTTTCTTGCAAGGTTTATTTTACATTCTCTCCTGACACTCCGCTTCACCACAGTTCATATTTTTGCAAGAATGTCTCTTTTTTTATCTTGCCTGTACACCTTTCACCTCAAGTCCACCCGGCTCCTCTGAAAATCTGCAAAATACACAGTTGTATCACTGCACAACTTCTATCAGGCAGAAAAGGACAGCTCTGCCCTTGAAGATGCTTGCATACTATGCAAATGTGCTCTCTCCTCTACCACCCACTGTGATCTTGCACGATCTACATATGCATGGTTACATTATGAAAAGAAGGAAGTGGAACAGCAGCGACTTTCTATACCATTCTTTAAGTTTCCTGAGGATCAAGTGAAAACCATTCTGCATTCAGAGTCCTTGTACATTCACCGAGACATCCATCTATACCTGCCCTAGAGAAGAATCCTCAAGAGCCTGCAAGTGAACTTTTTTAGCATACCACAACATCACATAGCAATGAGCAAATTAATGCTTCTGCAAACACAGTACCTGAGAAAGAATGGCTTCTCCTCCACTATCTCCGTAAGTCAGATGAACAATAACTATATCTTTATCAGCATTATTTAATCGACTCAACGTCTTCACTTTGCTGGTATCTTCCTTCAACACTTCCTCAAAAATACAGCCACTCATCAAAAGATTTAACTTAATTTCAGTGTTGTCCCTTTTAGAGACCACTAATTCATTAACAGTCTTCTTCAGTTTGCTTTTTCTCTTTATTTGTATGCCATCAAATGTAAAAGATGAAGAAAACCCTAAAATCTTTCCACCTTTAGATAAAAACTTCATAAACTGTTTGTGGTTCTCTTCAGAAAGAGGCTCCTCTGTGGCAATGATCAACAGCACTGAATTATCAACCCACGGATCTTTCAGAACTTGTTCCTCATGAAGCTGGTAGATGATGTAGCTGTTTGCATCAATGCATTCCTGAAGGATTGATTTTACCTGCTCGAATTCTACTTTTGCAGTTTTAGAACCAAGATAAACCAATATATTAGGGGGCTTTCCAGCAAGGTTTACTCTCTTTATTCCTCTTGCTAAACAGTCAACATTCTTCTCTTCCAGTTTGCTGTTGCAATCATCAGAAAGTTCTGGAATGTTTTCTGTAGAGGCAAATCTGACCGATTCAATAGTACTGTTTTCAAGTTGCAGGCATTCACGACAGCTGGAAAGATGCAAGTGATGATGTTCCCCAGCACCTTTCTCTCTGTCAGATAGGCTGCTGGATTCATCTTCATGCTGACTTTCTTTCTCTAGCTTGGACTTCTCCTCATCACCTTGTCCTGCAGACTCAGCAACTCCTAATCCCGATTTAAGAGTAGTCCCAAAAGCAGCAGCAGGAGTTACTTTATCCATTTGTGTACTGCTTACACTTTGCTCTTCTAGAGATGGTGCCACCTGCGCCAACTCCTTCAGAGTAGACTCCTGTAAATGGACAGCTGGAAGAGTTAAAGAATAGAGAGTTATAAAAATTACATTAAAAAGAGCTACGCTGAATATCGCTACCACAGTGGGATTTAAATCTAATTTCAGTACAAATCATCTATAATAGCAAGAATTCCACTTGTTTGACACACTAAATCCTAACCTCTCCAAGAACATAATAAATTTGCACTCAAAACACAAGTCATTTACTCTCATGACAGTTTGTTTCAGGAAAGTCTGACTAAGAACACACCACTTGATATTTACGTGGCACATTTAAACAAGCTAACATTTATTCTGAGTGCAAAAATATTTGCACATGACCACTACTGTACACAATGCAAGATGCATTCCTGACAGAACAATGGTCTACAGATGGAAAGATGAGGAAGTTCTCATAAATGCATCACCTTGTCAGCTTGCTATTCTGCCTGTCCCTCTGTCCCCAGCAAAAGACAAAATGAAGCAAGGGAAGTACCTTTGGAAAAATGTTGGTCTCTTAAGGAGGGCAGGGTGGAAAATTGCTTTCTGCTATTTTGAAACAAGCTATTTTGAAATAAGTTAATAAAGTGATGATATTGGGTAAGATGGAGACATTGAACCATGTCTCTTGCATTGCTGAAGGCTGCAGATAAATGTGTGGTACAAATAAAAGGGAGTAAAAAAAATCTGAACTGCTTTCAGTCTGCACAAAGGGAGACATAGCAAGACTTGGGAGGTAAGAATCCAAGGGAAAACTAGCAAATAGGAAGAACTGTTAAATCTTCCCCTTTCTCCCCTTGAAAAGGACAAAAACGCAAAGATAAAAAAATTCTGGCAAATGCAAGTGAGAAGAAAGGACAAAGATTATTATTGTCAGCACGAAAATTGCAGAGCAAACTAAATAAGAAAGAGGAGAGAAAAAATACTCTTCATAAGGTAACTTTTTAAAGTTGTTGAGCCATGAGACTATTTCAAATCAAAGTCGGCAAAATTTTACTGAATCCCCCTCCACTCCCGTAAGGCCAAAGAAACTTACTATGGCTTTGTTTTCAATTTCTCAAAGAAATTCAATGAGAAACTTGATTAACAAAATAGTCAACCAGCACACAATGCACCAGACCCAAGTTCAGTCCCTTTCTTTGCTTAACAACACTTTCATTCCCTTGAAACTATATTCCCTTTGCCTAGCTTGGAGCAGAAATTCGAAGCAAGATTTTTTTCACAACCCAGGAGAAATTCACAGCTAACAGCCTCTCTGCTATTCCATTAACAGCCTCCATCAGCCTGTCCTTGTGAAGCAGTTTTAGCATGCACACAGTATCTGAAGCAAAATGAGCAGAAAAGATTCTTTAAAGAAAATGACAGGGGCACTCTCTCAGCTTCCCCTCCTTGAGTGAGCACTTTTGGAGAACAGCACCAAGGGACAGTTTCCATCAGATATATCTGTGAGTATGTCCCTACCCTCTTGCACCCTAGCTAGCTGTTCTCTATTCTGTCATTCCCCGACTTCTGTCAATGCACTATGATCTACATTTAGAAAACCAAACAACTAAGCAAACAAAAAACCTCCACAACCAAACACAAAAATATCCAAGTTAAAACCCACTCTTCCCCCCTTTTTTGTAGTCTAAATATTTTATTATTCTAGGTGATCCATAGTTTTATCAACACAGCTGAGAAGACACAACTAGGCAGGAAGAAATGAGGCTGCTGCCGACAAAAACAAAAAAACACCACACACACGCACACACAAAAGCATGGCCTTACCCCCCCAAGAGCCCACTACTCTACAACACCCTGCATATTATGGAACTTTAAAAACAGTGCTGGAAAGAAAGAAGTTCAAATGTCATACAGCAAAGGGAGGTAAAGCTTGGACTCCCTCCATCCCAGACAGCAACTCTATTCAAGAATGGTGTTACAAGTGCAACCATGACTACTTCCTTCTCCTCTCTGTGGAATTAGCCATGAACTCCTTGCCTTAGCCAAAACTATTAAACTAATGAGGACACAATGGCTCTTAGTTTTATCATTAAATATCATTAAAATTACCCCCTAAAGAAATGAACCATCCACCAAAAATTCAAAATTCAATTAGCAATGACAGCACCCTCCTTCCCCTGGTTATCTCTCTCCCTGTTTAGAAAGCATCTGTAATTTTCTCTCAGTGATCTGAAGGATTAAGATGCGCAATGGTTAATTATTGGTGGTATCTTATGAGGCACTAAAGAAAGAGGGGGGGTTTATCCCAGAAATGAGCCATTTTTCTGCTATTTCTGTTGTTGCATTTGTAAGGTGTTCTGTAAAGAGAAACTCGCTCAGAAAGTGGTCTAACTTTTCAAGGATCATTAAGTTTGACAGAATTCAGTATAAAATGAAGCAGTGCCACAGAGTGATGAACTGCCTAGAATGACAACAGGAAGAATGCATTGTGCCAAAATAAAAGCACGGGCTTTTTGTAGGTATAAAGACTATAGGCACAGTCCTAAAATAACCACGAAACAAACATGTTCTACCATTAAAGATAATTAGTGAAGATACTTACAAACAATCTTGTGTGGCACCATTCCGTTATCCATCTGAAGCCTGTCCTCCATGAATGCTATTCCAAGGTTACTGAAATTATCTACACTCGCTTCAGCAATTAATTTATAAGGCTCACCAGGTTTATAGGCCAATGGCAAACAGTAGTCTGACCACTTCACAATCTAGAATAAAGCACATGCATGGTTTTCAGTTGGAAACAGTTACAAGAAAATACTGAAATACCAACAGTACTATAAGTCTGCAAGATAAATAAAAATAAAAAATAAACAAATTAATCTTCCCTCTCAAAGAGTCCTGCTATTAAATGACAGCACAAAAGTAAGCAGAGTCAACAGAGGGACATTATAAAACCAAAATGGCACAACTGGCAAACCCAAGGACTGGAAATAATGTTTAAAAAATGTGTAGCTACTAGGATTATAGAATACTGAATTAGCAGAATAACTTTTAAGATTTGTTTCTGTGATGCCTGATGTGTTTAAAACAACTACTACATTTAATAGTATCATGAGGCGACACATCTCAACTAGAAAAGGCTTTCAGTTTACAGTTCCTTTCACACAAAAGTGCACCCTTCATGACTACAAAGGTCAATGTATGAGACTGAATATTACCAAAAGAACCCCTGAGGAAGGGTCTGGTAGCAAACAATACCTGCTACAAGATTCAGTCCTCAGAGAAGTAAACAAAGCAACATCCACAATGAATGTTGAAAGCAAATTGGGAGTACAAATACCTCTTTACCAAAGATCAATTCTATAAAATCTTCAAGTAACACAGAACATGGCATGAGAGCATTATCACATTCTGTAAGTAAAATTTTATTTGCCTTATTTCCAAGACATGGCTTTCAGCACAAATTCTAAAAAGAATGCTGATAAAAAGAGCAAAAGTAAACCATTAAGGTTTATTAGAACACTATCACACACACACACACAATCAGAAGCATTAGCTAAACACAAAAGATTCAAGCTACTTATCTACATCAAAAATTTCATTCCTAAAAAAGAAATATTATGAAAGTGACACACTTGGGTTTGTTTTCTTCAAGAACATTTACTAAACCCAAACTACACAGCTCTACCATCTTGGAGAACAAGTTTCAAGTTTAACTATAAAAGGCCCAAGTGGAGGTAAAGTGAAAAGAATTCTGTTTTCCTTCTGAAAGGTGAACACATTAATAAAGACTACAAATCTGTCTGCTGACTCATAACTGAAAAGAAGCTCTTTTTAAACCCTATGTTTACAAAACAACATTCAGACAATTGACAAACACAGTGATTTAAGAGTAAATTTTGAAAGCAAAAACTGAGTAAGGCACCCAATTTCAGCAAAAACTGTGAATGTAAAGCCTTTATCCTTTCTAGTGTACACAAACCAATTGTTCTCCTGTGAAGGCAGTTTTAGAGACAATGAAACACCACCTGTTTTCATGACCTAAAAAAACCCGAAAAAAACAAAACAAAACAAAAAACATCACCTTCACCATGTAATATGGACCAAATACTGGGAGACAAAGCACAATTTCCACATAGCAACTCCAGCACTTTGACATTGTCATCATCAGACCACTGTCATGAAGTTCACCCCGTTAACATCACACACAAGTCATAGTGCACTCATCAAACACAGTAAGAAAAACACTTCTTCTGAATGCACAAAATGAGGGTGAGCTCTTGGACATTTTACTTGTTCATAACTTTACTAGACTATCAGCTAAATTTACCTTTTTATCTACTGCAGTTAAGCAGTCTACATAATATCCAGAAGAATCTATTTCCAACTTCTCCCTTTACAGTACTTCAAGGGAACAACAAGAAGAAACTCTGATTTCATATGATATTAATGGGCACACCTCCTTTCTAAGTCATTCTCAAAGACAGTCTCCAATTAGTGCAACCCAAATGAGACCATCCAGTTCATATCCATATTGGTGGCCTCTGAATATCTAACAAGAAAACAGGCAGGGTATTTTCTGATACATCACCTGTATTTTCAAACAGGCCAAGTTTCCCTGATATGACTAGAAATCACCAAAATTCTGTCAGAATACAGAATGAAAGGCCAGCTCTAAGCAAGAGATGAGAAATTATTTATACTCCTGCTTTCTGGGTCCACTTCAGTTTCAACAGAAACCAGTCACTATTACTGATAGCCCTAAAAAGAATGGTTTTCCTCTCTAGAAATTCTCATAGATCACAGGAGAAATCTGTTCTTACAGCCCCCGTCTGTGTCAACAGCTGGCTGTCAGAGGTAAAAGAATTAAGAGCACTTTGCTAGAAGCAACATGTATACAGAAGAAAAATAAACAAAATAAAACACCAGGTCTTTTCCTCTTTAGTTTTGGTCTTTTGCTATGACTACCACTTTTGAGCTTGATAAATCAATTATTAATATCTAGACAAGAATGCAAACATGTTCCATTCTAAAGAAAATGCAAACAAAACCAATAAGATTTTAAAACTCTGCCAAACAATAAACCCCAAAAGAACAATTAGAGCTTCAACACAGATGTTTTTGTGAACCTCTCTGCTACTGGGAAAAAATAAGAAAATAAAAAAAAAAATTTCCCTTAGCCTCTTACCTGAGTCAGCCCACCACTCCTCAGGTGCACTGAGACAACGTAGAGAGCACAGCAGGTATCCTATCTAGGTTATCTCCCAGAAGCAGGGCCCAGCTAGATGGATTCCACAGTCTTACGTCAAAGGCAATACAAACATTTACAAACCAGCTAATGTGGTTACTTCCTGTGTACCCCAAGGAAACATGAGGACAGTGGAAGCAGGATCAGAAGACTTCAGCATAAAGGTCTCAAAGTTCTTAACAAGCTTTCAGTGCCTGCAGTCCTCACTCTCTGAGCTTCACGGAGATAATGATTTTGCCTGATGCAGCACTTTAGGGTGTCCAAAAACATGCCCTATTCTAGAATTGTGAGGCCTTCATGGAGAGGGAAGGTACTAAAATTTAGATTGCAGGCGCAAATCTGGAGTTGTGCCCATTCCCAATCTGTCCTTCTGTTCCTGCACTCAAGTTAGGTAAGTCTATTCACCAACAACTCTGCTTTCAGTGTTCACTCCAGCAGAGGACTCCTGGATCATCTTCCAGAACAAGTGGCCTAGAAAATACACATTTGTCATCCAGGGAAACAAACAGGCTGCAAGTACCTGTGTATATGACAGGTTTCCTTTAACTCCAAGGAGCCTGAAACGTGGTGCCAGAAAGCAAGGATGACAGACGGCCTTTTAGGGTGCTACACAAATACCAATCAGGAAGACACCTTATCGACTGTCCCCAGGTGGTGACCCTAGCTTGTGGCATAGCCTGCTTAGAGAGAAGGCTCTGTCAATTTTATGGTACTCCAGCAACCAGGTCAGAGGTTTTATTACTGCCTACCCAGGGATATCCTAGCTTGCACATCTTTCCATTTCTCCTCTTGCTGGAGCAGGCAATGAGGTCCTCTTCATAAAGGAGAGCATACAGCAAACACAACTGGCTGCCTTAGGAAGGAACTGTGACAACCTGTAGCACCTTGAAGATTTTTCCCCACCCTGTAAGATGAGTTCTCCTCTTGCTTTGAGTTACAAACTTTCTCCCCTTCAGACCTGCATCCAAGCTGAGGCAGGCAGCAAGCATTCCTCATGTGAGGAAAAATTCACAAAATCAACAAAATTCAGGGGAGAAAGAGAGAAAGAGACATCACCTCAAGTGCATAGTAAGTTTTCATAGGATACTATTTTTATGCATCACCTATTTAGGAATGCTATGTATTCAGTAATTCAAGTTTTAGAACATCATCTTTTAAATCCATATCTTTACACTTTCTGTATAGTACTGCAGAAGGCATTTTTTAGATTTCCAAGTATCTAGGACATGACTATTTTGCAAGTATGCTTGCCATAAGGATTTCAGTACTAGTTTAATTTGTATCCTTGAATGTCTCAAAAACAATTTGTGTTGTGCATTAAAAGGCAAACACAATTTATAAAATTCCAACCAAGAAGTATTGCCATTCCCCCACTGTATTTTACAGAAAAGCAAAGAGATTAAAAGTTTTACTTTGGCCTTACTTCTGCAGAATGACAAAATTATCCAAATGTATACTTTAACTTGTACTTATAAATCACAATGAAAGGAAGCTTCCAAGAGAGACTTTTTCAATTACAACTTTTCACAATCACTTGGTTGGAGGCTTAAAGAGCTTTTTAAAAAATCCTAACGTATGCTTGTTTTGTATATTCTTACCAAGGCATTTGTTTCAGCTACTGACAGAGACCTGATACTGAGCTAAACGGACTTCTGATGTGCATTAGCATGAGACCTCTCAAGCATTTTTTCCTATTCAGCATATCTAACCATACATACCTTATCCAAAGTCACAATGGTATTCTGTAGCTCCCATGCACAGCCAGAGAACTGTGCTACTAAAATAAGAAATCTCAGAAAAACGTCTACGGATCTATTTGAAACATACAATAGAACTAGAGTAGTAACAGACATTCTTTTTAATGAAGAGATTACCTTTTTATTCCAAATAACATACTAAACATACAAAATCTGCCATTGATTTTCTTTCCTTCAAGTGTTTCAGGTTTGTAACGATCAAACGGCACATCTGTACTACTTTCTATACAAGAAACAAAGAGAACTACTTACCTCTTTTGAAGAGCCAGGTACTTTCTGCAAGTTATCTGTCTGAGCTGAAATGCTTTCTGTCACAAAAGCTATATGTTCTGCTTTGAGTAACTTATCAGGATAAATAAAAGGAGAAATGAGAAGTAGACTCCATCTGTTTAAGTCATCAAGGAACTGAAAAGAGACAGGAAAGAAAAATAAGTCTCTATAGCAAGGATCCAATTTAATAATTAATTTTTAAATTACACCCAGCATAAATTCAAATCTGACCTACCCTTCAGCCCTATGTGAAAGGTCTCTGCCATTTCACACTCCCCATGAGGAAAAAAAGGAGTAAAGGTCTGAATCATTAAGCAGGAAAGCATCAAAAGTGAAACTAAAAGTGACTACCCAAGCTTTTAAGCCAATTAAGGGTCCAGCTTTCAGCATCACAGGAAGGAGTGCACAAGTGAGTGGGCCACAAGCACACTGTGCCACTGGCACTGTGACTGTTGTGGGCCCTTTGCCACTGGCAACATCCCTCATTCAAACCAATTCTCCTCTCCCATTCACACTGCAGTTCACCCACCCTCTTCCTTCCCCCTTCTCCCTTGACTATACAAAACCCAAGGCCCTGCAGCCTCAGTTTTGGTGGCTGAAAGGCACTTTCTCTTACTCGGCAGGAACTGAGAAAGCAGTCACAACACAACCTGCCTGATCAGTTACTACAGCCCCTCTAGCTAGATAGTAGTCCAGCGAGCACTCATTGTAGTTGGGTAACAATCCTCCAGGAAACATACAGTCCCACTGCTAAGTCCTATACACTGCCTCTACACCCATCTGCCAACCAGCCTGTGAACCACAAACGACCCAAGAACTATATACTACACAGTTCTAATTTTTAGACCTAATTCACAAAGTTTCAGGACTTCCTTTGTAAAGCCACTTACATAAAGACAGTTACATTCTGTGGACAAGTACAACCTCAGGACAAATTCTTTAAAAAGTGATTTGAAAAATCTCTTAAAATAATTTGAAATAAAACGAGAGAGTACTTTTAAAATTTATTACATCCTCACGCATTTGCACGAAATTACTCATTCAGTATGTAAATCTAAGTTTAGAGGTAAATAACTCATTCAAAATAAATATGTCCATAAGGTAGTCTATCCACTTAGCAAACTCTGGGACAAGTGTTTCCTTCATTGAATTATAAAAAGGTTTCCCTCTCTTGCCCTCACAAATAAGCAAGTAAAGCTCAATAGCTGGAATCAGTAGACCAAAGGACAGTTTTAAAAATCTCAAAGCTTCTCAACACAATCTGTTCCCATACCATATTAGATCAACTTGTATGTATATATTGTACTAAATTTTTCTGCCATATTTTAAAACAGGCAAGCATTAGAAACAGATGGTTTGCTACCACTGTACTTGAAACACATGCTTTGCACACCTTCGGTTAGTTTATATGGAAACATAAAAGAATTACCCTATAGCACACTAGAAGTGTACATCACTCCATATCTAAAATGAAACCTCACAATATTAAGTCTATGGAAATAAATTTCCAATCCAACCAGCTTGACTGAGCACAGAAGCTGCAGAAGCAAACACTGCTACCTTACGCACAAAAGTGAACTGAACTCTTGAAGCTTTATATTATCTTAAGCATCCAATCTGATAAAAGATCAAACAGAAAAACTTTACAGGTTACAATTTATGACTTGCTGGTATCTTATCTTAAGGAAGTTACTGATCACAGTCCAGAGGCAGTTATACCCACCTAGAAAGCAAAGCAGCTCAGCTAGCTTCCTAGAAGCCAAAAAAACATGCTAAGTTAACCTTTTTCTCTTCACAGTGTTCACAGACAATATAGAGGTCCATAGTGATGCTGACTCTACCTTTAATGCAGTCAGATCAGAGCCCTTATACACCATGCTACTGAGGTGTGGTATGGCAAGCATCTTCAACAGGGATGCTCAAATGCAACTCATAATTTTCAATATATATTTTTAAGAGACAAATACATTTTGAGTAATAGCTTTGACTTTATGCCAAACCTCAAGCCAGACTACAGTTCCCTAGGGGGCTTCCCATCTCCCAATAATCAGAAATAAACTGACAAGCTTATAAAGTCAATCTGCATGAATAACACTGCAGAGAAAAAAATGTGCTTACTGTGCAAGGACCGAGGAGAAGCTATTTCAGAAATGAGCAGAAGTGGAGCAAAGAACAACATAAGTCAGTTGAAATAGGATTTACAAAACAATAATTCAGGCCAATTGAGGCCAAACTCCTCTAAACACATGGACAACTACTTGGTTTTGTTTTTAAGAGCTTTATCAAAATGTGAATGAAGTATTTAACTTTCCTGTGAGAGATTCTAGACTGTGACCATCACTTTTAAGTATGACATAATCTGCTCATTAGATAGCAAAAAGACTATTTTTTTAGCAAACTCCATTAGTATTTGTGATCTTGCTTTCACTGCACTGAAAACATCATCTTTACCCACTGAATTTAAGAAAAGCTTCTCTGCTTCTTGAAGAGTAGCACCTAGCTAACATGTTTCATAAACACATTTCAGTGACACTCATTTAAGTAAAATATGTAACAACTGAAATTATTTCCACAAAGACACATATAAACATCAGCAAAAATGAGAGATCAAGAAGATTCCTATCCACATGAATTCTAGTACTTAGAGACCAGTTTAGACAAACCGACCTTAATTTAAGTAATTCAGATTAATTTATAAAACTTTATTATTAATAATAATAATTCCCCCCAATAGGGGGGAAGAAGGGGGAGGATGCTAGAGGAATTCCACTTCTAAATCTGAAAGTCAGAAGCAAGCTTACTTTCAGTTTTGCTTCATGAGATGGCAAGTGAAAAGTGCTCAGCTACAGTATTTTTCCACTCTCATGGGTCTACCATAGCCTCACCGCACCCTCCTCTCTCACTGTCCATTTGCAAAAAAAAAAGTGATTTCTCACAGGTCTTGTTTTTCATCTCATTTTCCCCACTTAAGGCAACGTTTGGTATCAGGAGAAGCATGCAGTTTTCCATAACCAAAAGCTCAACTCGGACTTCATTACAGATTCAGGTGTACTCAAAATCTCTGACACAAATCTCAAATGCACAAACACGCCAAACATTTTTAGCCTAAAGCCTTGCATGTGCTAAAAGCATGCTACTAATACGGAAATGCTAACAAGTTCTCCCAAGTGCTCCTATTGCCGCAGCCGCACTCACAAAGCTGTACTTTACAGGCATGCAGTAAAAACACTCCTCAGCCCATTCCCTAAGCCAACAACCCACAGCAGTGAAGAGTGACAACTGCAGCTATGCCCAGATCTTCTACCAAGGCTGTTACCTGGGTCTTACCTAAGGCTCACCCTTGACCGGCAGGGCTCTGACAGCCCGGGGAAATCACACCAGTTCTGCTTATTCTATATATTGAGGTGGTTTTTTTTCAATCGTAAGTCCCAACCAGTCACTGAAAAGCTCGCTGTCACTCACCGAAAAGCGAAATCACAACCCCAGATCCCACAACCGCGGCTGCCCCTTT